AAAAAAAAAAAAAAAAAGTGAAACAAAAAATGCTATTATGTTGAGCCATAAAATATAAGTGGCCTATTTAATGTCTTCCTTCATAGGCTTTTACTTGGCCATTATGATCGTCCAACTTTTGGTTTCATAGCCGGGAGGGAAATGCTTATAATCTGTTTACACAGACGTTTGCAATAAAAACTTTTCTATGTTCTGAGTACTGTTAGTTAAGCTATAGAGTTTAATCATGAGATGTTTGTTTTTTTAATAGACAAATTCTGTATTGGCTCTCTACAGGTAATAAATACACCTCAAAAAGACAACTAAGATATTTTTGAAATTTTTTTTATTAACCTGAATTGAAGCATGGGGTTTTGTTCTTAAAACCCACAAGTTCCATTCCCTGTCCCATCCTTTCCACCCACTGAAACCTTCATTGCAGAATGAAACCCTCGACATAATTTTAAAAAATTTTGTAGCATCACAAGCAGATTAAAGATAGGATGTATCCTCAGGCATTTAGATTCTTTTTCTGTTTTTTTCCTTTCTTTCCTTTTCTTTTTTGATATTTTCTCTGAATTGCAAAGAATAATTATTAGTCCAAATCAGTCTTTTAAAAAAACCGTAAGCATCAATCACAAGCAAGATTTAATCCTCTTGTTCAGTGTAATCCAGCAGTACTTGTCACACACCCACCTTATTCTCAGAATTGTGCTCAGCTTGGTAAACAGCAAGAATTTCCAGTTCCTCTTAATTATTCCCAGATGGCGTTGGTGGCTTCCCATCCCTAACCTCCAGGGAAGTGTTCTGGTAGCCACACAATCCTGTCTGGTGACCTCCAAAGCACACACGCTCTACGTCTGCACCGATTGCAGATGTGATCATCACTTTCCTGTTACTTCAGAGCTGCCTCTGCGTTGATACCCTTTGGGCCAGCCAGGTACTGGCCTTCTTCCCCTCGGCACACACATGAAGCAGGTTTTTTGCAGATGTTACATGCACGATCCGTTCCCATCTGTGGCTTCGCTTCTGCCCTTACAAACTGGCCAGTGGTTATGACATATCACGTTACTCTTTTGTTTCCCAGCAGTTCTAGATTCCATCCGCCTTTGTAACACAACCTTGGCTACTAGATGCCGCTGCTGAAATGACTCAACAGCCAGACGTGGCAGTGATTATAACAACGTAAAGTGTGGCCAAGAGAGAAGTAGTAATAATAATATAACAACAGGATGTGTCTGTAACAACATGTTAGGAAGGCTCATGGCAGGGGTGATAGTTAAGGCTATTCCCTCACTTCCTAATTACACTTTGCTCACTTCCTTTGGGTCTTTACCTAAAACCCACCTTCTCAGTGAGGCCTTCCCAGTCCTCCCTATCCAAAATTTCCTTCCTTCCTTCAACATTTGATATCTTCCTCTTCCTTGTTTATTTTTTCTAATTAGCATTTGCCACTAGCAAATACATCATATAATTTGAGTTATTTATTTTGTTGACTCTCTCCCCCACTGGTGTATAAACTTCTTGGATCGGGATTTTTGTGTCCTCTGTTCACTTACTACATCTACAGGGCTTAGGACAGTCTCTGGCACATAGTAAGATTTAAAACTAGGATATGGTCAATGAATGGATGATGACAGTTTATGTTTATTGAGCACCTACTATATGCTAGACCCTGTTTTTTTTTTTTTCCTTTTTGTCTTTTTTCGTGTCCGGCAA